ACGAAAATAGTTTACGTAACCCACTAGACACGTCATCCCAATGAATGTTTTATATAACGCTGCAATCAAAAGGCTTGTATAACCCGTGAGGGACGCTATCATGCTACTGTGTCATGTTACGGGACTGGTCCTGCTGGAATGGAACCGGTTTCGCAGCGCCCGGCTCAGGCTTTCCGATTTCCTTACTTTTCCTGCTTTTTCATGCTGCTATTTGTAAGATTTTCAATGTTCAACCGACGTGAAAATAATATCATTGTACCTTCCTTGTATTTGCCGCTCGCTGTGCCAGCGAGATCTGTGCGTCAACAGACCACATTTCATGTTCCCCAAGCAAGGGTTAATAGTACAAGCGTGGTCTTTTTATCCGCATCCCAGAAGCTTGTAACATCTTCATAAATGTTCACTGCGATGCCGACATATGGCACCAGAGCTCCCGGGAGATCAAGCGTGCTGAGCATCATCTAGAGATGAGCACCTGTCACCCATATTTTAGCGTTTTGGCGCTGTGCGCATCTACTGTTTTATAAATTATAATATGATGACCTCATTCGTCATTGGGTGTGCCACGTATACATGATTTCGTAAATAAGCAAAGTAAATATAGTTTGAATGGTTTGAAACGTTATCTTAAGCCGTGAGCGTGATTATCATCATAATTATGAAAAACTTTTGCTCATAACTAAAGGAAGACAAAAACAAATAAGAAATGGACTCGTTTTTTGCTTCTGTTAGTTATGGGCAAAGGGTTACCTATTATTAATTTTTTGTGCAAAAATAAATTACTTTACGTGTAACACAGAAAGGTAAGCCCGCCTATGACGGTTCCCCCCCCCCTCGTTCAGAGCTCCGGTTGGGGCGATCAGTGTCCAGACCAGGGGAAAACTGTGAATCTGCCAACCTCACGGATGTGAAGGACTTTTCAAGCCTTCAAAACCATTCGTATAGAGTCTGAACTATGAATATTAACCCGCGCCCTGCTGGGGGGGGGTGTTTGAACACCCCCCCTTGTGGTTTTTCGCGAATATCTCAAAAACGGCGGCGCGGAGCGCCGCCGTTTTTGGTACACCTTATCATACATCAATTCTACACATGTTGTGAAAATTTCAGACCAAGGTCATTCAAGGTCAGGTCACCAGGTCACTTGAAGTGACCTCACCTCATACAAAGTTTCAATGTCTGTCATAGCTACACCGAGTGACCGATCGCTTTGAAACTTTCAGCGATTGCTAAGAGCAATAGCATGTACAAAATGTTTATCTCAGAATTTTGATATCGATGACCTAAGGTCAGGTCAATTTTGCGACCTCCCCATTATAAGTCAATGGGAGAAAATTGAAATGCGCCTCTTTTGGACGAAAGACATCATAAACACTCCCAAACACCGAATTACAAGTGGTTTAGACACACTGAACATGAAAATGGTGTCCGTGACCCCTGTTTATGCCCTGAGGTCATCTTAGGTCACGAATGGTATCTAACAGTTTTTCTCGAATAACTTTTGATAGAGGCATGCTAGAGCGATGAAAACGCCTTAGATGTGTTCAGCTCGACGATACGGATCGACTGATATGCAACATGACCCTTTCCGGTCAGGTCATGACCTTGACCTGAGGTCAAATTTTCAAGTTGACCTTTCAAGGTCAAGTTATAGTTCATTCGATGCGTATTGACGAGAGGAACACGATGCCGGTAAAAGTAAGCTCGTACAAGGCTTGGGTCAAAAGTTATTGCAGAAAAACTGTTTCCGAAAAAATCGGCTATTTTTGCAGTTTTTGCCCCCTGCAGGCAAAACCGTTGACGTTAGGTCAAATCTGAGAGAATTACTCAGAAAGGGCGTTAATAGGGCTATCGAATGCGCTTTTCCGCGGCGCTGTAGCTCTATTGGTTCCCGAGTTATGCGTTGGCTTCTTGGAAATTTTCGACATTCGACCCGGAAATCGGCGAAATTTTGCCTTCAATGACCTCTGGTGACCTGACCTTTGACCTGACCAAAAAATTGACCGAAGTGATTTCGTCATTATTTTTGACGCTCTTTCGAACGCCGCCTTCCGCGTATCGCTACGTGGCACACTGGTCGGAAACGCCCTCACGAGAGGCCACGGGCGATTCCGGAGTTTCGGATTATTTTTTATATAGATCGATTTGAAATTGATCAAATTATTATAATTAGGCCAAAAAAACTAATCCGGGTGACCAAAAATAACTGTAATCAGCCCCCGAAGATGGGGTATCCCAGAACTCGGAAACTGACGCGGAGCAAGAGGTTTCTTGAGCCGGATATTCAGAGTCTTATTGCTGATTGACACCAAGTTGAAATCCCACATATTATGCATCAAAATGTTTGTTATGAAGTTGCCGACTGGTCAGTGCAAAATTTTTGGTATACTTTTTCCCTACCTAAGATTTACTGTAGCTTTTTTATGAAGGCTCTCCTACAGTGATTCTGGAATATAACTGCAAAGTTTAGGTAAGGAAACAACAGGTAGTCCCATCTAGTCCCACCCTGATTTTTTGTGAGATGAAGTAGGATTTAAATTTACACCAGGGCAACATAAAAGCTAACTGCGCATATTTGCGCAAAATTTGCAGGAGCCGCTCTTCCTACCCAACTACCGCCCGCCCCGCCCCAGTTTCGGCTCGGCCGCCGCGCCCGGCTTACGCTGACCTGTGTGGCCTGCACGCATCCATGCGTAGTTGACTGGTCATTAAAAAACAGATGCGCTTGAGTTTATGAATTTGGTGAAAAGCGCGTTTTATGTATGCATTTATGTATGTATTGACATCAAAAGCCTTCCACATATTGCGTGGCGATTACGGCTTGCATTTAGAGAGCCTTGCTATGACAACCATCAGTCATCACTCGGCTGAAGAAAGTGGAAATTGAAACCTTCGTGAATATAAGACGCTGCAAATATAGGACACCTGTCACTGACGTCGGGTTACCTTGGGTCGTCTTTTTAAATTAGATCACAATTCCGGTATTTAACCCTGGCCGGACCGATTGGTTTTCTATATTGACCGGGGAGGGTTGGTACAACTCCCTCGCCGTTTCGCCTCTAATTGAGCTAGAGCCTCGCGGAAAAAACGAGCGTGTGTGCCGTTATAAGACGCACGATTACTAACCGATTTTAAGGTCTTAGGTCAGCCAGTGACCTCTTAGGTCAGGTAAGTGCCACAAGGCACGGGCTCGGTTTTAGGTTAATTACTTTGCCAAAAATGGTCGCACTGCCGCGATTTTGGCATCATCGTGTCTGTCTAGCCCAGGCGCGTTGAATGCTATACTTGGTGTTCGGGTGAAGTCAACTTAAGGTGTTAACCTCGGTTCAAGGTCAGGTCGGAGCCCCTCAGGTCACGAAAATGGTTGAAGGAGGTCATATCGCATATCATTCGATTCGGCAGGTCTTCCTGAGTCCATTGGTGGTTTTCCCGACTCGCTAGCTCCATCTGATCAGGAGTTGTTGACGAAAAACTTACATGGCCTTAGTGACGTCATAAATGACGTCACGCAAAGTCAACAATGCTAAAGTGAAGCACTGGACCTTGCAAGGAGTGCATGAAACCATTCCCGGTGCCCGAATAGCAGCTCCCAATTTCCCTTGTTGACTTAAAGTGGTGCTAGATCCTGTATTATACTCAATTATGACGTCATAACTTAACAGATTCACGTCATATATTTAGTGCTTGACATCCAAATGATAGCTTACATATGACAGAGAAGGTATGCAAAGTTTTATGAAGTTTGCTTTACTAGTTGTGGAATAACAAGCAAAAAACTTTTGCGGAAAGGCCGCTGGCCTCTCGCTGGAGCGTTTCCGACCAGTGTGCGTGGCCCAGGAGCCGAGTTAGAAGGGGGGGGTGTTCAAACACCCCCCCCCCCAGCAGGGCGTGGAAATCCAGGACCCCCAGCCGGGCGCGGGTTAAAAGTCAGAAACTATGGTAGCTTTTTATCTACGGTTCATCTTTAGAGGCAACGGTAACATGTATGGAGAAATAAATTTTTCGGTTAAAATATATATAATGATAAAAAGTTCCTGGAATTTCACGCATTCAAATTCTTGTTGCACCTTTCCCAGAACCTTTTCATTGAAAAAAATGATACCATTTGAAGTAGGGTAGGTCTATCACTACCTAGTACCTACCAAACACCATCGATAGCCTTTCCCTCTAAATTCTTCACTTTAATGCACAAACATGTGGCGAATGTCACGCATACCGGCCATGTGTATTGATGCCGCATCAATACACATGGCGGGTGCGCGAGCCGGCGGCTCCTGTCCCCCTTCGAAAGCTGGCGTGTCTGTAGGTCTGGCTCTGAAAGAAGCCCCAAAGCCTCATGGCTGAATACGCCAAAACCTTGCCGTCGGTGTGTCATCCTCATATCCTTAGTTTTTGAACTGGTGAAGTTTCAGTAACCGGCGCGGATTTAAGATACATTTAGTTGCATGCTGTATATTAATAACTGAACACCGCGCCGCTAATTAGTTCTAAGTTCTAACGTCATGTTGTAACGTCATATATGAATGATTCATTTATTGGATTTCCGGTGTTGAGAGCAGTAGAAAGTAATATGGAAACCAAATTAGAACTACAGTAGAACATGCTCAATTTTTAACCACAGACTGTTTCACACTACAGTCGGGTTAGGATTGTGTTTCTTATTAAAACTGGCGGATCAATACAGTTGAAGACCTTATCATGCATCATCGAAATGCATTAGAAAGTGGCAATTGTTCCAATATCGAGCACGTGTCTGGCGCGATTACCGGTTAGTGCCGAGAACCTGCCCACGTGCCTAGGTCGTGTCACGGCCCGGGGTGGGCCATATGATCACTCAGTGCGCGCCGACCGAGCCGGCCGGGCCGATCGGAGGGCTGTGCGCAGCCAGCGCCTCTGGTGGCCAGATCGCGCACTGCCCCCGATCAGGCAGCGGTCCGGAGATCGAGGACCTGCTAGTGGGCTGAGTGCGCGGACAGTGGACGGAGTCGCCGGAGACGAGGTAGGTTCAATGACGCGCCGACACTCATCACCGACATCATGGGTCACTTTTTGCCCTTGGTAGCTACGCACCTCGAACAGTGGCAAGCTCTATTTCCGCTCCGAAACATGACGAGTTGCATTTAATTTTGCAAGGGCATTCTTGCACCCATTCATTTATGCCTTCTGCAAGATTTGATGTGCAGACAGATTTATGGAAACGTAGGTAAGAAGCTAATGGACACTCCCCGTGCGACAAATCCAGGCTTACGGTTTTGACCGGAAAATCTGTTAAAAAGCCGCCAGGAGCCAGCGGTGGAATGGGGACATGCTTTGACCGTCTTGTTCTAACATACAAATTGGCAATTATTCATAGTTTAAGAGCAGCAGGTTTCTTCTAAGTGTTTTTCAGCCTCACTCAAGATTGCAACAGGAATTTATAGCTTTTTTATTCATCAATAAAACATTTACGCTCGGAAAGGTCAGCCAGCAAACTTACTTGAAATTAGGGTTCAATTATCCGGCGGCGACTGATTTAAAACAATCGCAACGCTACTGTTAGATCATTCATCCTTCAGTTAACTGATCATGGTTTACACCTCGGAAGTATCAGGCTCACCATTTTGATTTGCAAACACCATTTTATGCTGTTTTCAAAATATCTTCCTATACGTTTATGCTTCACCGCCCGAGGCTGGGCTACATACATAGCTGTTTACTATATTCTATTTTATTTTTATTATTTGCTTGGCTTGTATCCCAAAGCATCATATCATTCGGTACTGAGAATTCAAATTCCAAACGCTCATTATACTAAGGGTTCATTATATTCGTTTATTATACTAAGCGTTCATGGCAATATTTTTTGGCAGCTCTGTCGTGGATATTCCTTTCAATTTGTCTAAGAAATTCAAGTGGATTATTTCCTTAATTGATACTCATTTACCTTTAACTTAAGCCACAACGGGGTCAGAGGTTTTTACCAAATAGGACATGCCTATGTTACTTTCTAAGGATATTTTGGCTAGTGGTAAATATGGAAAATATCTTCCAACCCATAAACTATGAAATTCAACATATTTTCCCCTTTTTGCGAAAGCACCTCGAGGAAAATGGCCTTTGAACCTTTCGCAAGGAAAAAACTGAGAAATAAATTTAGCTTTCCTGACCCCAAACAGAAGCATGCAGCATGCAGTCGTTATAGCTTATTGACCGATGTGTATACTGGATATAGTTTTGTGACAATGCAAAATGAATTATCTGCATATTCTTTGTTCTAATTAATGGTATACCTGCCTTATGCAGTTTTATCTTACTATCTACATAAGAGACAGAGTACACATGCATACGGAAATTGTTTGTTATCACATTTTGTAACAACAAACCGTCAGGAAAGCTTTGCCTTTTTAGAAGAAAAATGTTTAAAGACAAGCTAAAAAATATATAGTTCATTTTTTAAGTTCTACCGTCACTAAACGTCTCTGTGAACACAGCACGAGATTTGTGAGATGAATTACTTAGAAAACTGGCTAGCGCTCATCTCTTTTCACAGATGATCAGGTTGATCATTTTTTTTTTTACTTCCTATCACCGATACATAATGAGTTTAATCTACATTTACAATTCCAAAGTTATACTCGACTTGTCGGGAATTATAAGTGAACTCATCAATCAATCGAACGGTGTTACTCTGTTGGTGTTCAGAGCACATTTTGAAAACATTATTTAGCTCTTCAATACAATGTGCATCAACCAGTTTTCTCAGTCATTTTCTCAGAAAATATCGTGCAGTTGTTTACAGTGAGGGTCGAACTTAAGAAAAACGAGCTAAAGTTACATGCGTTGAACATGTATTTCAACCTTTCAAAAAGAACATATTGCCTGGATTGTGTGTATCCGATAGCTTTAAGACAAAATCAATTAATCCAGCTGCACAAAGTTATTCAGGTACTAACCCTCCTTCTCAATGTTCAGTTTTTTTCATACCAATTATTAAAAATGGCAATCATATCAGACCTCTCACAGCAAGAAAAAATGCTCGAAAATTCAGCTTATCGCTTCCAGTAAGTTCGCTCAATATATACCTAACTATGAAACACAATATGACGTGTTGCTATCTGAGATAATTTTGTATGGTTCAGCAGAACAAATGCGTGACAATAAGTAAGCACAAAACACAGCATCCGTACAAGAAAGGATCCAATACGCACGGCCTCAGCGTAACGTGGTTTCAAGTGAGAGTGACATGGGTTTTGCAGCAGGATATTAAAAGAGCGGTAATGAACATTAGAAGAAGAATCCTTTCCGGACATGAAGTGACACTGTAGGCCATTGAGGGCAAAGCAGAACCAGTCAGGCCGGCCGCTTTCTACAGGTTATATAACCCGGGTCATAGATAATCTTGATCTTGCGCACCGTTTTGGCCCACTGCTATAGTAGACTTGGGCCTTAGCTCTCACTTTAAGGTAACGTGATATTTCGAGTGTTATTCTTGTCTCTTTAATAGCCTGTCAGGCACTCGTGAAATACTATTTATACAGCAGCGAGCTTGCTGTTTCGTGAGTTGACGCCTAAGTCCATTGTAAAATCATCTCGCGCGACAATGGCGCTATAGGAAGTGCAACATTGAGTATCGAGGCACTAAATGGTTTTACGACTTTGTTTATCTATGCAGACAAAGTGTCTTCGAGAAAGAAGTTGAGCAAACAGGGCCAGTCCCGTCAAACATCAGTCAAAAATGATATGAAAATTTATAAGACTGCCAGACATTCACGCCCGGAGTTCAAACCTGGCGACTATGGAAATGCTGATAGGGCAAATCACGTTGGCTACAGACTCATTTGATGTGAATTCATCAGACTTACTAACACTATCCCGTTTTGATGGTGCATTTCGTATGCGACATTTATTGCGTACAGTATCGGTGGAACACCTTCAATTAACGGGGGGGGGGGGGGCACTACCGACTTTTGGTCTCATTCTTTCCATGCAACGCCATAGGGCTTATGTTAAAATGCCAAAATCAAAGGGGGGCACGGTGCCCCGGTGCCTTCCCCGTTCCGCCGCCTATGATTGCGTAAGCATCACAGAAACGTTAACTTGCACAATGCAGTCACTGAACGCACATGAACCTCTAAGTCCTGTTCGAGCAATCAGCCGCCGCCAGCTTATGTAACTGACTGCTAACTCTGGATCGCATGAGTCGCCGCTGCACTGATGAGTCGACATAGCCGGCGCAGTGTGCACGCACTCCAACATTTGACCAAATGATCGGTTTGTTCCTATAAGGGAAACACTCGATACATAGGTCACTGAACAGTGGAGAACGGTTGCCAAGAGTCATTCCGATAAGTCATTGACGATAATGGTAGTAAATCTGGCCAGTCATGTCATCAAAGGCTTGCAGAGCGGTGCCGCCTGTCTGAGGGTTACCGGCGCGGCGGCCCGGTGAGGCCAGGGGAGGGGTGGCGGCGCCACGGACGGCTCTGCCGGCCGGCCGACTGGCTCCGCCCCTCCCACTGGCTCCCCCCCCCCCCCTTCACCTGTCCACCGTGACCGCCCGGCGCAGGGACGGTGAGAGCCCCCGGCGCGCGCGGCGACACCTCCAGCGGCGGCCGGAGCTCAGCCGCTGCCTGTCGGCCCCACAGAGGGCGGATAGGGTGCCGGTGGAATTCCCATGTTGTCAATCGCGAGGTTGCCTCCACACGTTTCAATGAAATGAAAACAGGCGGCGGCGTGGGCGGCAAGCGCTGCGCTAGCTTTGGTAAACGGAGTGTGCTTGCAGCTTCACAAGTTATTTGACAGAACCACTCCCATAGAGCATAAGCTTTTTTACCGAGTTGAGTTACGTAAGATCTGTACCATTTCTCAATTAATGCAATCACTTCCGTAATGGACCCTTGGCTACAATCCAAGCCACTGGCGGATCCAGACTTGCGTTTTGGGGGGGGCCAACTCCTGCAAGTAACCAAACCTAGGGTACCCCCAAATCCTGTTTTCTCATCGGATTTAGGCCACTTATTTTTTCGTCACAGCCCTGAAACGATATTTTTTTTTAACTAAAAATAAAAAATAGAAATGGTAGCCCACCCAACCCGAGCCTAAATATTACTTTGAAAACACTTCAAATTGCTTTTGTCGACCAATTAGCCCGCTCCGGGTCGGTGCGTGGCGCAGCCTTCGCGGGCTGGGAGGTGTCGGTTGGACCCCCTGCCGTTCGGCCCCTGATTAAAGGGACTATCCCACCTTTAACATGGGGTTTGAGTTGAGATAGCCAAGTTTGCGGCGAGGTTCAGAAACCACTATCTATCTAGGTTGCAACCCCCGCGGCCTCTTGGTGTTGAAGAAATTCGTTCCCTTCATTTGAAAATGGGCCTTGCACAAGGCCCTATCTTCAACATGGAGCGACCGTTAGTGTGACGTCACCTCGTTTAGTCATTCTGATTTAAATGGGTTTGTTCGTTGAAAAATCGCTTAAAACTTGGTCTGAACTTTGTTGTGGTGCCTACAGAGTAAAAAGAATCAGCTTTATGACAGTAATGTGGCCTGGGGAAGGAGGTAATTTTGGGCTGTGACGTCACATATTTGAAAGTTTGTGTTTGGAATATGGGAAGCCTAAGATGTTTAATGAAAAATAAATGCCAGAACCGTGTTCCTGGTCATCCAATCTATAAGGTCGGGCACAATTTAACTGGTTTAACAACATTTTAGAAGGTGGGATAGTCCCTTTAAGCTAGAGCTCGCGGAAAAAAAACAGGCGTGTTGCCCGTGAGTGACGAGACGAAGCCGATGATACCCGATTTTAAGGTCCTTGGTCATTGGTTGACCTTCCAGGGCGGTGTTTCACGGTCGTGCTGACAGCCGCTGACAGCGCATTCCGCGAGCTAAGGTCAGCCTTCGGTAGTGTTGTGGGTATAGGCTTGTTGATGTCTCCATTGAAACCAAAAGTGCCATCAGCGCTGGCAGCGGCTGGCAGCGTGCCGTGAAACACCGCCCAGGTCAGGTCACAGACCCAAAAGACGGGAAAATCAGGACCTGTCAGAACCTCCTAAAGTAAGGCTGTAATACGTTTTTTTTTTGTGCTGATCACAAATTTCATGTTAGTCAGTGGCGGCGGAAGGTATTCTAGGATAGGGGTGCAAACGATATTGAAGCGCCCCTTCCCGCTGGGCGCCCCTTACCATATACACGGTTGTAGTAACACAAACAGTGAAGAGACTATTTCTT